ATGTTTTTTGTCAAGGATCTGTTGGCTGTATGTTTTTGGGTTTACTTGTGGGTTCTTAATTCTGTACCATTGGTCTACCTGTGGTTTTTTGTGCCAATACCATACTGTTTTTATTATCACAGCTTTGTAATACATTTTGAAGTCAGGAAGTGAGATGCCTCCTGTTTTATTCCCTTTGTGCAATATTACTTTGGCCATATGAGGCTTCTTTTGATCCTAGACAAAAATTTTTAAAGAATTATTTATTTTTTAATTTTATTTGTTATTATTATTATTTTTTAATTTGAGCAGAGACAGAGAGAGGGATAAAGGGAAAGTAAGAAAGCTAGCTGCCAGGTCCAGGACTCAAACCATGGTTGACTATGTGGGAGTCCAGTACCTTAACTACTGTGAAACTGCTGGCTCTTCCAGACAAAATTTATTATTTTTTAAATTATTTTCTGTGAGGAATATCTCTGGTAGTTTGATTGGAATTACATTAAATTTGTAGATTAATTTGGGTAAGATTGTCATCTTGTTTAATATTAATTCTTTCAAAACAGAAACAGGGAATTTTTTCCACTTTTTTACATCATTTATAATTTTTTCACAAGTGTTGTAAAGTTTTCCTTGTAGAGATCTTTGTCGTCTTTGGTAAGGTTTATCTCCAGATAAACCATTTTAGTGCTAACTGATAGTTTTTTATTTATAACTATGGTTAAATTTGGTATGCTAAATTTCTTCATTTCTGGATCTGAAGTTGTTGCCTTTTACCTATTTTAAATAAATTATGGTAAATAACATATATTCTGACTCCTTTTATATTATAAAAAATTTCTTTCAAAAATCAAAGATGCTCTGGCTGATATTTTTTCCCTAGATTTCTAATTATTTTTTTATGCATTTTAGTTGTAATAATAATGGATGAGACGCAAACATTTTCTTTGTTGTGTCGTTATTGTTTTATTAATAAAGTCATATTAATATTTGCAATGTGCACATCAGGTTCTCATTTTGGTAAATTCATTCTATACAGAGAGATGTAAAATATAAACCTGAAATGATTTAAGACTCAATGGTTCAGTGGTTATTGATTAAAGTCAATATTCCCTTCTAATCCACATTTGCCAGGACACTGCTGTCATGCATACACACCCATTATGGTCATGCATATGTAAACTTTTACATGAAAGGATAAGTTATCTTTCCCTCTTTAACAAAAGTAATGCTATGATTTATGAATAAATTTGCATTTGTCCCTACCTGTCGAAAGATGCTTGGCATTTCTTCAGTGCAGCTGCTCTTAAACATTGTCTTGAACAGCTATGCATATGAGTGATATGGTGTTACCTACTCCAGTGACTTGGACCTAAGAGAACCCTTTACTCCTAATGTTTGTTGCACTATAAAATACACTGAGGAAACATTCTCGAACACATATTTGTAATAATCATTCTTGTATAAACATTTGTATTTTTATAAGCTGAGATTCCTTTGATTCAATTTCTAAAAAAAATATATTGACATATTTTGGGAGGGAAAATGACAACAAATTATTATTTATAAAGAACATAACAGCAGAAGAAAGTAAATAGTACACAAGTTGGAGAATGAAAAAAAAAAGCAGAATTCATTCCAGATGACCCAAATTCCCACAAATCACCTTCATAAAAAACTATTATTAGGTTCCCAGTATTACGGTAGCAAATGTCTGCTAATTGTATTGTTTAGCATAATAGAGATATATCTTCTTATGGTCTGAAAGTCCAAGCCTTTACCAAGGCCTCACTGTTATCAGATGTTCCAGGACAGAATAATTTCTTGCATTTTTTTATCTTTCAGTGGCACCTGAAATTCCTTCGTCTTTGGACGCTTAACTCTAATATCTTCATATGACTTTCATCTCTATGACTGTTGTGTAAATTTCCCCAACATATCTGCCTCTTGTAAAGATATTTATCATTGGATTTAGAGCTCAATATAATTTGGGATAAGCAGTTTGCAAAATTCTCAATTTAATTACACTATTACATTTGTAAACCCTTGTATTTTAGTATTAGGTTACATTTGCGGGTTCTGGGTGGACATAACATTTTAGGGAACACGATTCTTTAAAAGTAATTATTTACTTAATGATATTATTATTATTATTTTAATTTGCTATAGGGCACATGCATGACAGAGAAAGAGGAAGTGAGAAAGCAAGTCATCAGCTCTGGATTTCAAAAGGCAGTTAGCCATATGGGATTCCACGCCCTTCTGGCCCCAGAGAAAGTGGTTTTAAAACATAGTACATCGGTTTGGATTGTTCATTTTGGGAAAACAAAATTTTATGTAGGTATTGCCAAAGCCACACCTAAGTCTACAAGGGAGAAAAATAATTTTATCTGATAATATTGAGATCAATGGTAACAGAGAAAACAACACCATCAGAATTTATAGCCATGGAGGACATGCACAAGAATAGAATCTGGGGAAAATGTAATGAGAATTCAAAGATTTCTTCATTTCTACCAATTTTGATACTGATGAATTATTAACTAAATCCTAGCACAGTATTAAAAATGTCATAAAATGCATCTAAAAATTGAGAAAAAGAAATAAAACTCATCACAGAGCCTGACCCTCATATCTGCTTATAAAACACTCTTGATTATCTTACATTATATTGTTCAGACCCTTTTCTAGGTCACAAGTTTACTATGACAAAATAAATTAATTTCCAATTTGGATTATTGCAATAGATTTAACTTAAAGTCTGATTACACAAAAGCAACCACATTAAACCTATGAAACAAAGATTGGTAGATAAAATGTGAGGATATTATGCAAACAACTATGTTATTATCTAAGAACTAAGATAAAAACTATATTTTGGTTGTATGTATAAAAGCAGGTAAGAAAATTATTTCAGTATTTACAAGTGATTTACTCATGTCAATATCTTGGGTAGTAATTTTCTCACTGCCTTCATGACATCTTTGTTCCTCAGAGTATATATCACGGGATTCAATATGGGGGTAAAAACAGTATAGAAGAGAGAAATTAGCTTACCTATTCCTTCAGATTGTTTTGTTTTGGGTTGTAAATAAGCAATAGTGGCAGTTCCATAGAATAACACTACAACTGTCAGGTGAGAAGAGCAGGTAGAGAAGGCTTTAGACCTCCCTTTGGCTGATGACAATTTCAGAATGTTGGAGATAATTGTACCATAGGAAGCAACAATCAGCAATAATGGCACCACTAGAAATACCACAGCATCTACATAAATTGCTAACTCATTCTAAGTTATCTTTCCCTCTTTAACAAAAGTAATGCTATGATTTATGAATAAATTTGCATTTGTCCCTACCTGTCGAAAGATGCTTGGCATTTCTTCAGTGCAGCTGCTCTTAAACATTGTCTTGAACAGCTATGCATATGAGTGATATGGTGTTACCTACTCCAGTGACTTGGACCTAAGAGAACCCTTTACTCCTAATGTTTGTTGCACTATAAAATACACTGAGGAAACATTCTCGAACACATATTTGTAATAATCATTCTTGTATAAACATTTGTATTTTTATAAGCTGAGATTCCTTTGATTCAATTTCTAAAAAAAATATATTGACATATTTTGGGAGGGAAAATGACAACAAATTATTATTTATAAAGAACATAACAGCAGAAGAAAGTAAATAGTACACAAGTTGGAGAATGAAAAAAAAAAGCAGAATTCATTCCAGATGACCCAAATTCCCACAAATCACCTTCATAAAAAACTATTATTAGGTTCCCAGTATTACGGTAGCAAATGTCTGCTAATTGTATTGTTTAGCATAATAGAGATATATCTTCTTATGGTCTGAAAGTCCAAGCCTTTACCAAGGCCTCACTGTTATCAGATGTTCCAGGACAGAATAATTTCTTGCATTTTTTTATCTTTCAGTGGCACCTGAAATTCCTTCGTCTTTGGACGCTTAACTCTAATATCTTCATATGACTTTCATCTCTATGACTGTTGTGTAAATTTCCCCAACATATCTGCCTCTTGTAAAGATATTTATCATTGGATTTAGAGCTCAATATAATTTGGGATAAGCAGTTTGCAAAATTCTCAATTTAATTACACTATTACATTTGTAAACCCTTGTATTTTAGTATTAGGTTACATTTGCGGGTTCTGGGTGGACATAACATTTTAGGGAACACGATTCTTTAAAAATAATTATTTACTTAATGATATTATTATTATTATTTTAATTTGCTATAGGGCACATGCATGACAGAGAAAGAGGAAGTGAGAAAGCAAGTCATCAGCTCTGGATTTCAAAAGGCAGTTAGCCATATGGGATTCCACGCCCTTCTGGCCCCAGAGAAAGTGGTTTTAAAACATAGTACATCGGTTTGGATTGTTCATTTTGGGAAAACAAAATTTTATGTAGGTATTGCCAAAGCCACACCTAAGTCTACAAGGGAGAAAAATAATTTTATCTGATAATATTGAGATCAATGGTAACAGAGAAAACAACACCATCAGAATTTATAGCCATGGAGGACATGCACAAGAATAGAATCTGGGGAAAATGTAATGAGAATTCAAAGATTTCTTCATTTCTACCAATTTTGATACTGATGAATTATTAACTAAATCCTAGCACAGTATTAAAAATGTCATAAAATGCATCTAAAAATTGAGAAAAAGAAATAAAACTCATCACAGAGCCTGACCCTCATATCTGCTTATAAAACACTCTTGATTATCTTACATTATATTGTTCAGACCCTTTTCTAGGTCACAAGTTTACTATGACAAAATAAATTAATTTCCAATTTGGATTATTGCAATAGATTTAACTTAAAGTCTGATTACACAAAAGCAACCACATTAAACCTATGAAACAAAGATTGGTAGATAAAATGTGAGGATATTATGCAAACAACTATGTTATTATCTAAGAACTAAGATAAAAACTATATTTTGGTTGTATGTATAAAAGCAGGTAAGAAAATTATTTCAGTATTTACAAGTGATTTACTCATGTCAATATCTTGGGTAGTAATTTTCTCACTGCCTTCATGACATCTTTGTTCCTCAGAGTATATATCACGGGATTCAATATGGGGGTAAAAACAGTATAGAAGAGAGAAATTAGCTTACCTATTCCTTCAGATTGTTTTGTTTTGGGTTGTAAATAAGCAATAGTGGCAGTTCCATAGAATAACACTACAACTGTCAGGTGAGAAGAGCAGGTAGAGAAGGCTTTAGACCTCCCTTTGGCTGATGACAATTTCAGAATGTTGGAGATAATTGTACCATAGGAAGCAACAATCAGCAATAATGGCACCACTAGAAATACCACAGCATCTACATAAATTGCTAACTCATTCACAAACGTGTTCCCACAAGCAAGCTTGAGTATTGGAGGAATATCACAAAAGAAGTGGTTAATTGTGTGAGGTCCGCAGAAATCTAAAGAAAATATCTGGTATGTTTGCCCAATTACAACTGGAATTCCACTGGTCCAGGAGGCAGCCACCAGCTGGACACAGACCTTGTGGTTCATCACTAGAGCATAATGGAGAGGGTTACAAATGGCCACATAGCGGTCGTAGGCCATCACTGTCAGGAGGAGACACTCTGTGCCTCCAAATGTAAGGAGAAAAAACAACTGTGTAGCACAGGCAAAGAAAGAAATATGTCCTTTCTGAGACCAAAGGTCCATGAGCATTCTTGGGATGGTGACTGTTACATAACAGATTTCAGAAAAGGAAAAATTGCCAAGGAAAAAATACATGGGGATCTGGAGAGCAGGGTCAATTATAGTTATCAATACTATGATACTATTGCCCATCAGAATCATTAGGTAGATGACTAAAAATATTACAAAAAGAACCCATTGGAAATTAGGAATATCAGAAAACCCCAAGAGAATAAATTCCATTATTGTAGTGATATTGGATTCTTCTATTTTTAATTTGCTCTCCATCTGTGGACATGGTAAATTTAAGATTGTTAATGCATTCACATTTCTGAAGCACATTGTTCTATTTGTGGATTAGATGCATGGATGAATTTATATATTCTCTTGAATTATTCCCACTACTACATTGGCCTTTTTCTAGAAAATGAAATTAGTAACCTTAATAATGAACCAATGTGTAGTTAAAAATCAATATACCAACAAATCTTGGAGTGTGTTATTAAACTTGAATTTTCATAATATCATGGTTATCAAGGAATAGGCTCTATTGTGTAAAGCTTACTAAGCAGGAATAAAATCTAATTATTAAGTTCCAATTAAGAGTATGATTGTGATGACATTTTCTATTTAATCTGGTTTCATTACATATTCTGTATAAGTAATCCTACTTCAGTTTCTTTTTTCAATTCAAAACTTTTCACTCCAATCATTTATTTATACCTCAAAGTGAGTTTTGGAGGCTTCTCATTTATACTACAGTAAGTATCCACTATTTTAAGGTAATGCTTCAATCCTGAAAGAATAAACAAAATTAATAATTATTTTTCTACTAATATATTTCTCTCATCACTTCACTACAAATAAAAACGTTAATCCCAGCATGCTGTTCAGTAACTTTCTTAAAACTCCTATGCACTATATGAGAAATATTAGTTAACCTTTAACTCAATCAACCCAAATAACCTTGCAATTTTACATTTTATTACTTCCTTCTTACCTAAGATTCTAATAAACTTTTTAAAGCAATTCTCAAGAAACCAGTTGCACCTTTCTTTCTCTATTTTACGTCTATAATTTTGCCTAATAAAGGCTCACTTCGATTAAAACCAATAATCATTTATGCTAGCCTTGCATATGGCCAGAACATGACTTGAGTATAAAAATTTAAAAACCCTCAAAATTTTATTTATATTAATTCTGATGTCCTGCAATAGCAAGCAAGCAATACTACCATTCAAATAGCATTACATTCTCTTAAAATTGTTCTCTAACTGGGACCAGCAGTTAGCGTAATGGCTATGTCGCTGGAGTCCCACATAGTTTGCGTCCCGGACCCAGTGGCTTAAAACTCACGCCGGGCACGTGTGCGTGCGTGCCCAAGATCCCGAGAGGAGAATGGAGGAGAAGGGATTGCAATGTGGCCATTCCCCCTGGGGGGTGATTTCTCGCTTTCTGTCTCTCTGTCTCTCTCTGTCTGTCTGGCGAGTGCACATGCCCTATAGCAAAAACCTCTCAAAAAAAAATTGTTCTCTAACTTTTCAAAAAAACATTGAATTTTTTTAGCTGAGCTAATTAACTACACCCGTTACTGTTATAGGCCCCATCAACTGATGACTGAAATAACACATTGAACAAAAGAATAACATTATAGGACAAATATTCTCACATGCTACATTTCAACAAGCAGTAGCATTCAAAGTTTCTTCAATGAACTGTTTTATTATGAATCATGTATTTGACGTATACTGCTTATTTAACTTTATAATTAGTAAAGTTGAAGTCAACACATGTGGTCTGAAGTAGTTAACTCATTTTCAGATAAAGATCTTGAATTTCATGTTAAGAAGTTCATTAACAATATCTTGACCCTGGGATATAGAACTAACCTTAAATAAATAGTCTAACAACACAATTATTACTTACATTTGTACATTTCCATGAAGCTACCTATAAAAATTTAAGAAGTATTTTTTTTAACAAACAAATGTTATTTTTTCTCTGGAAATTGAATTCTCCAATTTGTGTGCTTACATTCAGACATCAAGTGCACTTAAATAGGAATAGCTATGTTCACCCAGAGGGACATTCCTCTCTTGTGAATCAACTTGATTTCTAAAGAACATCTACTAATAGAGCATTCTGATTCTTTCTGAAAACAACTTTCTCTGCCTGAGCCCATTCATTCTTGTAACCCCACTTCACATAAACAAGCAAAATTTCTTATACCACACATGAGAACAATTTCTTGGTGAAGAAATACCAATAAATTGTCTTATATTACTTAGGGAAGATGAAATCTTTCTAGATATTGCACTTCAGTTTCTCCAAAATCAATTTGTATTTCCTGGATGGCAATGTAGAATGTCCTGTTCCTAGGCTAACATTAATAAATACTATATATACTACATCCTGACTGTTGACATAGACTTAGATGGCCTTATTAATGCTATATTTTGTATTCAGACATCATGAAAACTATTTGAAACCTGAAAAATAAGCATATTTTTAAAAGAATGTTTAAAAGGAGTAAAAAGTGGGACAAGCAATGGTGCAGAGGCTAAGGAAGGTAGATCCCACATGGTCAACTGCACTGTTCGAGTCCCAGACCAGGTAGCTTGAAAAACACAATGTACAATGTGCACATGTACATGCATGCTCAAAATTCTGAAAGGAGAGGGAACCAGCAGTTAGCGTAATGGCTATGTCGCTGGACTCCCACGTAGTCGACCGTGGTTCGTGTCCCGGACCCGGTGGCTTAAAACTCACGCCGGGCGCGTGTGCGTGCGTGCCCAAGATCCCGAGAGGAGAATGGAGGAGAAGGGACTGCGGCGTGACCATCCCCCCTGGGGGGTGATTTCTCGCTTTCTGTCTCTATGTCTCTCTCTGTCTGTCTGGCGAGCGCATGCACCCTACAGTGAAAATCTCTAAAAAGAAAAATTAAAAAAAAAATTCTGAAAGGAGAATGAAGAAGAAGGGATTATGGAGTGGCCATCCCCCAAGGTGGATGATTTGTCACTTTCTCTCTCTCTCTATCTCTCTCTGTCTCCCTGGAGAGCTCATGTTCCCTATAGCAAACTAAAAAAGAGGAAATGAAAAAAAAGAAAAAAGAAAATAGTAGAAAGTTTTTTTTACCCTCCTCTTTTTTGTTTAGTTTTTAAGTTTTTGTTATGGATGGGTGTGCTTGCTGGAGAGAGAGACAGAAAGCAAAAGAAGAGAAAGCAACAAAACACTCCCCCACGGGAGATGACCACAATGTAATCCCCTCTTTTTTCTCCTCTCAGACTTCTGGACACATACGCATATGCTCCTGTGTGTCCCAAAAGCCACCAAGTCCAGGAATTAACCAGGCAGTTGTCCACATGGGATCCAGCCACCTTAATCACCATGGCCCTGGTTGGCTCCCAAACCCTTTTTCTTTATCATTTCCTTTCAGGATCATATGGAGATAAAATTCTCAGGTCTGAAGTAAAAGGTCAATGTCCGTTTGTATTTGTAATTACATTTGTTTATTCATTGTCAGTTACATACAGGCTTCAACAAATTGAATGCTCATGATGAAGACTGATATAATTTCCTATCTTATCATCAAAAGAAGAATTACACATTATAACACCTAGGTCATCTTTGCCTGAGGAAAATAAACTTAAAACTGAAACATTACAAGGAAACACATTCTAAGATCTTCAACTAGAATAGACAATATACTTCTACCGTCTGCCATTCTTATAGAAATTAATCACATGGTCTAAAATATTCATGAAGGTCTAGAGAATGTTGTTTTACTGGATGTCCAAGATACACACCTGGGTTTGGAGTAGATAAAGCCAGACTCTGACACCACCCTTGATTTTGGTCAGAAACAATGTGTTTCACTTTCCTGAACCAAAACATTCCCATACTATAGAGTTTCGCCTCAGCAAAGTCTATTATTTTTGTTTTTATGTAATCTCTCAAAAGGCTCCTTCAGATGCATTGACTAAGAACAAAATGAGAAACTGTCCTTCCATCTTGTTCTCAAGTTATAGTAGGAACATTAAAGTAGACATGCTGATGAGTCCTTCCGTCTCACTGGGAATGACACAGCAGTCCTAGTCACCTGGGCAGATTCTGTCAACTCTTATTTCAGGTACAATGGAATTCTTTTGCTATAAATTTCCTCTGACTCCTGACTCTACCATACACGTTATGGTAGTCTTTCAAGATCATAAATAAAGGGAACTTGAATGATTAGGGACTTTTTGGAATCCAACTTTTTTTTTTAAAAAAAGATTTTTGCTATAGGGTGTGTGCACTAACCAGAAAGACAGAGACAGAGAGACAGTGTGACATCCCCCCAGGGGGATGACCATGCTGCAATCTCTTATTCTCTATTCTCAGAATATTTGGCATGCATTCACATGTTCCTCTGTGAGTTTAAGTCACCAGGTCTGGGACTGCAACTATGGTCAACTACATGGGAGTCCAGCGACATAACCATTATGCCATCTGCTGGTCCAGGAATTCAACTTTATAACCTATTTATTTGTTGAGTAAGCATAGAGAAGGTCTTAATTTGCAAATCCAAGATCCAAAGATCTTTAAACTATTAATTTTTTGGAAATAAACATTTCTCTAAAATTCAGACTTCTCATCTATTTACTTTATATCAATTTATATGACAAAATTTTCCTAAATATAATTCTTAGATCTTCAGTGCCCATCCCTCTATTTTAGATTAAAGTTTGCCATCTGGCAGCTGCCTGAGAACATTGATATTATTTAATAATACATATTGTGCAACCCTGCCCAGTACAGAGGGTGGATAGAAAAACTAAAATTAACTTCTACTGTATTGAACAGCAGGTATTTGAAATCAAATTTGAAAAGATAATGGTATGTTGTAATATACCTATCTGCATTTGGTTTTTATTTTAAGCACAAGAGTTTAATTAAATGGTGCTATTGTTTCTAGCCTATATTAATATAGTTTAGTTACTTTTAAATGTGTATTTGTTTATATTGCAATGTCATTGTTATTTTCAGTATCTTATCAATCTTTTTTTGGGAGAGGTTTTCACTATAGGGCACGTGCACTCACCAGACAGACAGAGAGAGACATAGAGACAGAAAGCGAGAAATCACCCCCCAGAGGGGATGGTCACGCAGCAATCCCTTCTCCTCCATTCTCCTCTTGGGATCTTGGGCACGCACGCACACATGCCCGGCGTGAGTTTTAAGCCACCAGGTCCGGGATGCAGATCGCGGTCAACTACGTGGGAGTCCAGTGACATAGCCATTACGCTAACTGATGGTTCCCATTTTCA